AATTATATAATATGTTTATGTGTTTTGTACGTCTCACTGAAAATAATATGTTTATGTGTTTTGTCCGTCTCACTGAAATTGAGCCCGTCTCACTGAATTTGAGCGCCGTGGCAAGTAAACGCATACCTCATGCGTCTCACGTCTTAAGATTGACTATGCGGATGCTCTGAGGGCACCGACTAAGACGTCCATCAGTTCGTCAGAGAACAGCGAAAGCCTCGGCGTGCTCGTGTTTGTTTGGTTGTCTCAAGCAACACCGGGCACCGTGATGGTGCCATGATTCCTAGCGCAATACAACAATATCTTTCCTAGCCCAATACAATCATCCAGGAGTGTAGCTTCAGATCATGACCGCCGCAATTTTGCCAAGGAGGCGGCTTCTTGAGGTGAGAGTGGGTTGGGGCACCGTGATGGTGCCATGATCTCATCGTCATGGGTGGATGGGGGGTTTCATGGTGGATGGATGGATGGTGGATGAAAGCTTGGTTTCAAAAGAACACATTGAATTTTTGCAGACGCGCAGACAGAATTGAGATGCACCAGCATTGGTGACTGAGCAGATGCCATCTCGGCATCTGGTCTGGTAGCGCCATCCCGGCGCGACCAGGCTCAATTTAAGCAGCAGATTCTTGTTTCCATCCATGCCTCAGTGGATGCCATTCAGACCACATGTCAGATGATTTTCCCACCTTTTTCTTCTTGTTCAAAAACTCCATGGTGCTCTCACAGCAGCACACTCTCACAGTGTCGTGCACTGAGCCAGTGCCGCACTCTCACAGTGCCTTCCCAACCCATCCAAACCCAAAACCATAACAAGGAAAGCGACAAATGCACTCTGCCAAACCTGATGTCTTTAAAACGGCTACGCATTATAGACTCTTGCAAGGAAAAAGCATAAAACTCAAAACGACAAGTACACTGTGCCAAAACCTGCGCACTCAAAGACTGTATTCATTACTCTCACAGTGAAGCTTTTCAAAAACAAGATGGAATGCGAACATCTCTTGAAAAGTGTACCTCGCACGATGCACTCTCACATTGGCATTTGCTCAAAAAAAGATATTGAACCCACAGTTTCGTCTGATTGCGCGCTGCTAATCTGAAATCAAACCATTCCTTGTTCAAGGATCTACGGTTTGAATGGACACTCAGCATTTTGCAAAATATTCTCACACAAAAAACCTTTAATGTTCCTTAACCATACAGATCTTGAGCCATTATTTTCCAGCAGAATTTTTGGTTTTTAAAGACAAAAGAACTTTTAGGGTTCCTTGATGTTCAAGATCTTGAGCCATTTTCCCAGTAGAGTTTTTGCGCCGACCTGCCCCCGTCCCTTAGGCTTAGCAACCGCTTTGATGCCAGTCTTGTGCTTATTAACCTTTGGGTCTTTGATATAGTTATCATGGTTGTGGGCCTCCAAGTCTCTTTGATTATATTATTTAGCCTGCAGAAAGAGCAGGGGCACAAAAGCACAAAGCTAACCACCAGCAAGATGAGATAACAGAGTGTTGCGCTTGTTGGAAGATGCCTACAGGGCCAAGGCCGATGAAAGGTTTGAAGAAAAGCAGTCCGAGTTCCTTGAAGGAAGATCCCTGTTCTGTGATCTCTGGCCGGGCATTTGCTCAGAGGATGCTTTCCCGAGCTGCGCTCACCCGCAGGGAGCGTTATGATGTGTTCTTTGCAGCTGGCCGCCGCCTTGCTGCAACAGCAGATTGCAGCTGACAGGAGCATGCAGCAAGAGCATGGATTTGCATCCGTTGCATCGCCCCGACCGGCTCGCAACAACAGCCTTCCTTCTCGACTGTCGAGGGAGGAAGGGCGCTTCTGCGAGCTCAAGCAGAAGCTGACGGATTCGGAAGAGACCATCCGATCGCTCGAGCGCGCGGGGCTTCAGTTGGCGGCCAAGCTTGCGCTGGCAGAGCAGGCGTGCCGGGAGGCAAAGGCGGAGGGGGAGCGCCAGGTGCAGCAGCTGCTGCAAAAGCAGAAGATCCGCACCCTGAGTCTGCAGGTCAACTAAATTTAGTTTTTGGATGAAATCAATGTAATTGAAAAAATTAGTTGGTTTCCTAGTAAATTTTGGAAAAACTAATTTTTCATAGTAAATTTCAACAAAGTCAAAACAACATAGAAACAGCATAGAAACAACATATAAACAACATAGAAACAGCATAGAAACAACATATAAATTAAACAACATAGAAACAACCACAACAGTCAACACAAAAACAACACAGAAACAAACAAAACATGGGTTTGGAAGTTACACATGAAGTTGGTTTTCACAGGTAACACACACAAGTAGCATTGGAATGAATTGACACCTTTGAAGTTTGTCTTCACAGGTAACAGACAAGAATGGTTTCCAACATCAACTCACAAGCAATTTCTTTTTCTTTTCGCTGGGATGTGTGAAGCCAGGTGAAACTCAAAGCTTGCCCTGCAACCACATTAAATGGCGCTCTTTCCAGGCTGCTTTTTTGGAAGCTTGCCAATGCTTGGTGCCAGCTAGGCAACTCTTCCAAAGGGTCTGTGCCCTGTGCATGGTACTCTCACCCTTGTAGCACCACAGCAAAAATGGGTGGATGTACTTGGAAAATTGGAGACTATGAAGTGCAAAGTGGGTCTTCGATGTGACATTGAAAATTTTTATGTCTTGTGCTTCGAAGTGTTCACTCAATTGTTTGTGCAGCTGAGCCATAGTCAACCCTGCCTGAAAAACTTTGTCATATTGCGCCTGTGGAATTGCAGTAAACCCATATGTAGGAGAAAAGGTTTCCAAAGTTCTCTTGAGCTCAAGATTGTATTGTAAGAACAATCTGACACGCGCATGCCACTCATCTCCTGCTTGCATTTGTTCTTGCCAAAGGTCATGGAGACAGTGTGCCAAACCTGCTATGTCTGCTGCCCTTCCTCACAGTTTAGGGTATCCTTTTTTGGGTTGAAACATGGTGAGCTTGTCCAGTTTCATCTTGTATGGGTGCTTTGCCTGATTCTTCTTCTGGTGTTGCTTGATGTAGTTGTAGACAAACTGCAGGTTGTCCAAAGGCTCACCCTCCAACAAATAGTACAAGTAAGTGGATGACAGTTCCAAAGAAATGTTGTAACCAACCAAGATGCATTGTATGCATGAAATCCATGGCTAAGCATTGGTTGCTGAAGCCTGCCATGGTGTACAGTGGCCCTTTAGGGCTCCAGTGCTCTTTGTAATTGCTTGGCATAAGCAGTGAAGCTTGCCAGGGGCTGTCTTTTCGGTTGTCCAAATAGGACATGGGTCCTGCAAAGGAAGCTCGACAAAGAGGACAGGGTTTTTCATGGTTGGTCACCCTTGGTGTCTCCAACCATTTGCTCATGTAGTCTAGATCCCCTGCCAGCTGAAGAAGTATTGCACAGTAGCCTTCAGCCAAGTCTTTGCCAGCTCTTCTGGCTTCCTTTGACCCCAATGCAAATGGTTGGCCCTGCCAATCCACCAAAGGATATTTCCCTGAAGCCAATGCAGAAAAAGACCACTTCATAATTGTCCAAAACACTTCCATTGTTCCCAAAGCAGATCCAGCAGCTGGGACCACATATTTTTCGAATATGCCCCAAATGTAAAGGTGTGCGTCTTGAAAGCCAGCTCCACCTGCTGATGCCATGATGGAAAACCATGAAAAAACCAGTGCACACTTACACCAGATTTTTCCAGTGCCTAAGACTGGCACCTCATCACCGTGTAATCCCAGTGGTATGGTGAAGCTCTTCCATCCCTTCCTTCTTCTACATGGATGGGACTGCGTACATGGGTGGCCTTCAAAAGAATTCCAAAAACCAGGAAGTTTGGCTGGATCTGGGAGGATGCATTTTTCCCAGGCTTCATCCTTTTGGTACATAGCTGCAAAGTACTCGTGTGGTAGAAGGATCGCTGCAGAGGGAGTGTGATCCACACTACCCTTCATAGGCATGTGAACCTGGAGGGGGTCTGGGAGAGTAGACTCCTTGGCCATCATCCTAGTCAACATAGGGCCCAAATTCTTTGCATGTTCCAATGAAGCAATCTTCTTGAGCTCTGTGATCTTGAGGCCTGAGGCAGCATTTTCCAAATCTTGCTGAGTTGCCTTAGCAATGGAGTGGATCAAAGCTCCACTCATGAGCCCTTTTGCAAAGTGAGTCATGAGCAAGGCGTAGAGAGCACTTTGGCATTCCTGTTCTTGCGCTGCTTTGGCCAACCTTTGTTGCATGCCTCCTTTTCTTTTTTGGTGGGAGGGCCACCAGGAAGCATTGATTCAAAATTTGGTGAAACTGCTCCAGGGAGCAACTGAAGTGAGAGACTGTGTGATGTAATGTTTCTTAAGCACTTAATGCTGAAGTCCTTGGAGTTACTTGTGAGTTACTTGTGAAGTTACTTCTTGATGTTACTTGTGAATGCATCAAGTGAGATTGCATCTAAATATGCTTATCTCAATCTTTGCTGCAGAAAAACCATAGTAAAAGCACTACTACATATTCAATCATAATGTGACTATCCAACAGCTTTGGATCATAATTTGACAGATCCCTGCGTAGAACTGGGTGCAATGGCTACTCATCACCTGCCTAAGCTGGCAACTGTTGCTGCTAAAGATGAAGCAAGAAAGCGAAGGCGCTGAAGATGGCTGAGGCTGAGGGCAGGGGTGACCACCTGACAGTAGCCATGCTGGCTGTACCTTTTTGTGTGTGCTGAAAAAGAAACAGCTTCAGTTACTTGTAGTGCTGATGGACTCAGGTAACTAACTTGTTGAAGGCAGTATGCTGACAGATGTTCTCATGTAAATCCAAAACATGTAACTGACAGATATTCTCATGTGACTCTTTTGTACTTGTATCCAGTATCCATAACATGTAACTGACAGATATACCCATGTAACCCATGAAGTGCTGACATTTGTTCAACCAATATTCTGCGAAGCTTAGGTTTGATTCTCTTCAGGTTGCTGCAAAAGCAAGCCTTACTCGAATCTCGCTGCCCATGTCAATAGGGGCAATCACTTCTTAGCGCGGTTGGCTCGAGCATTCAACTGTCCCTTGATGCCAGCCAGAATGTCATCCAGGCTCTCAGCCTTCTTGCCACACTCTGCCATCAGGGCATTGTGCTTGCTGAGTGTGAGCTCTTGACCATTCTCAAGCTCTTTGAACCGGTATGCGTGTGAAATCTCAGCCAGGACCTTCCTGATATCAGTCATCACATCTTTCCTGAGATTATGCAAAATGATTCAAAAACACAAGTAGAGAACATGAACCATATATAAGATTCCCATTTTATGAGCCAACAATATGTGTTCTTTTTCAAACATGATATCAATCATTGAATATATCATCTCTGAGACAGTGCGTGTCACAAGTAACTTGTGTCTCCATCAAATGAATGACTTCTCTCAAGTAACTTTGAAATTGAGTTCAGGGATATAATGCACACATAGTCTCTCAAGTAACTTTCTTCTAGTTACCTTTCCCTATAAGAAGTCTCCCCTAAAGCATATTGCAGCCAAGATGCACCACTTCAAAGACTGGGTCAGCACGGTTGTCCCCAATGACCTGCAAATGCTTGAGACCATCCTTCTCAAGCTTCGACATGGCATCCTTGGCCTGAATCAACTGTGTCTGGGCCATTTTCCACTGCTGAGGAGAAAGGGGAGCATCCATGTCCTGAATGGCCAAGGGCGGTGCTGCAGAGCTACTGGAACCTGAGGTGGTAGGCAGTGCAAAGCCCTGGGACCAATGTCCTGCTGACATTGCTTCAATCATCTTGTTCATCTTGGCCATTTGCTTCTGGTCTCCCTCCTTTTGCTGAATCCAACCCAGTGCGGTTTTATCTCCCTGCTTACAGGTCTGGGTTTCTTCCATCCATAAGTAGCGTGGACCATGGTCTGTTTGGATCTCTTGAAATTCTCCCTCAGCCACTCCTGCCAGCAGGTCAGCCTCTGTGAGATTGAAGCGTCCCATAAACAATCGCTTGCTCAATGACTTGGTGGACTGCTTGTTGGTCTTTTCTTCAAAGCTTTCTTTCATTGATTGGAATACAGCCTTGTTGGCATTGAGCACCAATCTCCCTGCCTCACTTCTATCAAAAAGGCTGTTGACAATGAGGGACTGCCTCTCTCGCTTTCCACTCTTCATTGTCAGTGTCTTCTCCCATTCCTCTTTGATCCATGGTAGGAGCTGGCCTGCTTGATACATCTTGTTGAACTTCTGCATTTTGCATCGGTCTCGAGTCTCTGTGGCTCCTGGGTCAACGCTTGGATCATCTTCAAAGCCGCATGCTTCTTCTTCTGGTTCCTCTGGCTCTTCTTTCTCTCCCTCAGGCTCATTCTCAATGCCTTTCTTCCAAGCAGCAAAGGACTTGCCTCCTTTCTTTTCATTTGCAGCAGGCTTCTTCTGCACAGTATCTTCTTCTTCTTTCTTCTTCTTCTCTGCTGCTTCTTCTTTCTTCTTCTTCTCTGCAGCTTCTTCTTTCTTCTTCTTCTCTGCTTCAGCCTTTCTCTTCTTCTTGTTCTTTGACTTTGCTTTAGCCTCAGCCTTGTCAACCTTTTCTTCCTCAGCAGGCTTCTTAGGTAACTTTGCGGCGCTAGGCTTCTTCAGCACAGCTTTCATCACACTCTTAGGCTTGGGAGATCCCTTAGCTTTTGCCTTGGGAGAACTCTTAGCCTTTGCCTTTGGTGATCCCTTTGCCTTTGCCTTAGCGGCTTTTGCTTTCTTCACAGGAGTATGAGGCGCATCATGTACAGGCTTGGGCTCATCAGGTGTTGGTGGTGACTTCTTGTCTTCTTCTTTCTCAGCCATGAGTAGCAAAAATGAAAATACACACAAGTAGCTTTCTACACTCTTGAGAGAGCTGCAATGCATACATATAGAGAATCACACACAAGTAACATTTGCTTAAGATTAAAATACCTACCAATAACTTTGGCCACACAAGTAACTTTGGTTCAAGATTGAAATCCATACTAGTTATCAAGTTACTTGAGATGAGATGATATGTTTACTTGAGTGAAATACACACCCAGTAACTTTGGCCACACAAGTAACTTTGATTCAAGATCCAAATGGACAGAAGTTCTCAAGTTACTTGGTGAGATGACATGTTTACTTGATTGAAATACAAACTAGTAAGTTTGGCCACACAAGTAACTTTGGGCCAAGATTCAAATGGACAGAAGTTCTCAAGTTACTTGGGGTGGGATGACATGTTTACTTGATTGAAATACAAACTAGTAACTTTGGCCACACAAGTAACTTTGGGTCAAGATTACAATGGACACTATAGTTCTCAAGTTACTGGAGATGAGATCATATTCTACTTGATTGATTTGGTTATTCAATCCTGGAAATCATTGGAAAACAACAAAAAACCAAAAAAACAAAAAATCTTATGTAGTTTGTATGTAGTTTGTATGTAGTTTAAATGCTGTTTGTATGCAGTTTTGAAAACTACATGTAGTTTTGACCAAACTACATGTAGTTTTATTAAAAGTGCATATCACTATATAAACTGCATATAAACTACATACAAACTACATATAAACTACATACAAACTACATATGATTTTTGAACAAAAATCAATGATATTTTAATCAAATATGATCAATCACAGCAATCATTGAATATATCATCTCTCAGACAGTGCATGTCAAGTAACTTGTGCCTCCATCAAATGAATGACTTCTCTCAAGTAATCTACCAAGTATTACCTCAAGTAACTTTGTCATTCCTCCATCAAATGAATGACTTCTCTCAAGTAATCTATCAAGTATTACCTCAAGTAACTTTGTCATTCCACTTCTCTCAAGTAACATTTGCTTTGAAGTATACTCTCAAGTAACTCATCATGTATGCACACAAGTAACCTGGCACAGCACAGCACATTTTTTCTGGTGATCTTTGCTGTCAAGCAGTATTACCGCATGGTGTTTCCACCTCGAATGAATTTCAAGTGACCTGTGCTTGGTCTCAAGTAAAAAAAAACGTGTAATTGAATCAACCATCACATTTGGAAATCTGGATTGTGATCAAATGAACCCAAACATAAATAGTTACTTGGATTGTTGAATGATTGATCAAGATATATTCAACAGTACTTGAGACACCAACACAGCAAAACCGCTCTAATCTACATGCCCATGCCTTTGCCAAGTTGCTCCCAAAACATCTTCATGACCTGACTCGCAATCTCTCTGGGTTGCCGATCAGGTGAGGAGCTTGACCTCCTCCTCCTCCTCCTGCTCCTCCTCCTGCGCCTGCTCCTGCTAGAGGTACTGGTCGAGCGTCTCCTCCTCTTTGCCTTCTTTTTCTTCTGTCTCCTTTTGCTGGATCTCCTCGACCTGGATCTGCTGGATGATGTAGATGCACTGCGCTTTGCCTTGCCCTTTGCCTTTTCCTTCTTCGAGCTCTTTGCCTCCTGCTGTGCCTGGTTGCTGTCCAGGGGCACAGATACAGCCTCCTCTTTTGCATCATCCTTGGGTGAAGAGGGTTGTGTGCTGTCTGCCTCTTCATTCTCTGCTGGAGATGTTGGAGTTGGAGCTGAGGCTGTTGCAGCAGGAGCTGTAGGTGATGCGGTGATCTCAACATCCACAGGAGGATGCGCAGAGCCACTGGCTTCACATGATCCTGTATTGCATGAACAGGCGTTGGAACTGGAGCTAGAGCTTCAGCAAGAGCATGTGCTAGAGATTCTGCTGAAACTTCATCATCCATAGGTCCAGGCTCAGCTGCAGGTTCAGGCTCAGCTGCTGCAGGTTCAGCTGGAAGTGAACCTGGAGGCTCAGCTGCTGCAGGTTCAGCTGGAGGTGAAGCGCCAGGCTCAGCTGCTGCAGGTTCAGCTGGAAGTGAACCTGGAGGCTCAGCTGCTGCAGGTCCAGGCTCAGCTGCAGGTGAAGCGCCAGGCTCAGCTGCTGCAGGTTCAGCTGGAAGTGAACCTGGAGGCTCAGCTGCTGCAGGTTCAGCTGGAAGTGAAGCGCCAGGCTCAGCTGCTGCAGGTTCAGGCATGACCAGGGGAGAACTAGGCTCAGGTGCTGCTGAAGGTTTTGCTCGAAGTGAAACAGCTGAAGGCTTAGCTGGAGCTGGAGGTTGTGGAGGAAAAGGCTCAGCCATAGGTACCTGAGATCAGGTATCAGACATAGAAATTCAATATTCATCTACTTGATATGTACATGTGCATTCAATATATAAATATAGCTTTCAATAAAGATAACATACACTTCTGATATAGCAATGAATGAGTCAGCACACATCACAAAAAAAAAAAACAAAAATGATCATAAGCATTGTTTCCTGGATGCCAAAACCGGACTTTTGGTTGGCACTGCCTTCGACAGACATCCAGGGAACAATGGCGCAGTTGCTCCTGATCCTGCATTTGCTCCTGGTCCAGGAGTTGCACCATCTCGCTTCTTTTTGGGCCAGGCTCTGCAAGCCACCAGTGGCTTTTGATACCTGGGAAGCTAGTTGATACACATCTGTACAGTACTTGGGCCAGCATGTTATAATACACAGACGTGAAAAGAAGAAAGCTTACTTGGAACAAGAAAGCAAAACCAAGTAGCCCAGTGCAAAGGTCTTCATTGAAAAGACCATTCAAAGCGCTGATTGCCCACACAAGGTCATCCTCCTGAGCTGTGGACTAAACAATTTGCTATCACATTCTTCTCTCACAACAAAAGCCAAAATGAAGTGATTGCATAGAAGTGATAGTCTTTCATTTGAATGGACACCCAAGTAACACATGTCATTGGATCCATATGACTTTCTTATTCACTCAATGAAAACTCAAGTAACATTGTTATGGAGGAGAACTCAAGTAACATTTCTGATTGTACCCATTCTGCATCAGCCAAGTGTCAGTCTGCAGGTCGCAGAACACTGTCTGATGCCTAGGGATCATCACCCTATCCATCTTGCAGCATTGGATGTCCAAAGGCATCAGGCCAATGCCCTCCAAGAAAGACCTGATGTCCCACTTGTTGACATTGAGGCGCACATTCCTGAGCATCAACCTTGGATACTCAGGATCCTGCACAGGCATGGCATCGGGGCACTTCATGGTTGAAGTGAAGAAACCCAAATGGTTTGTGGCAGCATTAGTTTGAAGCCTTTAGAGACTGTGTGAGACTGTGTGATGTCATGTTTCTTAAGCACTTAACGCTGAAGTCCTTGGAGTTGCTTGTGAGGTTACTTCTTGATGTTACTTCTTGGAGGCCTTTAGAAGCCCAACATCTTGAGATATCTATGGTGCTGGAAGATGTTGAGACATGTTGACCTTTGACCTTGCAGCCTGCATGAAAAGCCTTGAAACAGGGTATATAATGTCTTGATACATCCTTCTGTAAACATAAAACTGACCCTGTAAGGCTGCATAGACACTTTCACATCACATATTGACATGTTTGCTGTTGACAGTCATTCAAACATGCACTCAAAAAACTCAATCGCAACACAGTGTGAACAGAATGCAAAGATATAAGCCTATCAGTCTCAAGTAAGTTCTCTCAAGCAACATGTGGCCTACCAGTCTCACAGGTAAGATCTCAAGTAACAGGTGGCCTCTAGCTACAAACAGCAACAACCAACCAGTCTCACAAAAGTAAGATCACAAGTAACAGGTACACTTTAGCTACAATAACAGAAACCTACCATCTCTCAGGTATGATCACAAGTAACACAGATTGCCTTTCTCCTTTTTGGCATCCCATTGTGATGAAACACAATGGGTTCAAGACCCATCTTCCCAAAGCATACCCTAGTTTGGGTGAAGATCATCCCAAATCTTGCCAGCTTCCTCACTGGCCTTACATCTTCTTTTGATTCTCTCTTCTTTGGAGAGGCCACACTTCTTTGCCAATTGATCAGCCCTGTGCCAGTGTCGGCTCACACAGAGATTTCTGTAGGTATCCTCCATGGTCGGCATGTCAGCAATGACATAGTCTGGGCTCAATGGCGCATGCTTCTTCTGGGAAGTCTTGGCAGCAGCTGTTGACTGGAAAGTACGTTTTTTCTCCTCAGCTTTGCCACACTTATCCTTCTTCTGATTCTCCTTCTTCTGACTCTTCTTCTGGTCCTTGCCATTTTTCTTTTGGTTCTTCTTCTTCTTGTTCTTCTTCTGCTTGGATCCACTCTGCTTCTTCTTGCCTTCAACCTGAGTGGGCACAAAGCCCATAGCTCCTTCGATAATCTGAGCATCGGTCAAAACTTGGGCAGGCTTCCTTGCTTGCTCCATACATGAGTTCTTCTCCACACATGACTTCTGGCCAGCCGAGATCTTCCCAAAAATGGCTGGGGTGTCTGAAAGCTGATCCAAAGCACTTGGAGAGAACTGCAATGACCTTCGAAGACATTGGTTGGATGCGGTCTGAGCAGGCACCAAAGACCTTGCAGGTGTTTCCACCTCAGGTGCAGGAAGTGCAAGCACAGGCGGGGAGCTAGTCCTCACAGGTGGAGAGACAGTGGGCTTGTCTTCATCTCCCTCAATTGAATCATCCAAGAGAATCTTGTCCAAGCACATTTGGATTTGGGCCTGCTCATCACAGGTAAGAACTCGAAAAACACGGCTTCGAACAGTTGCTGACTTTTTCAGCTCTCTGAACATGTTCAAGCCAATCCTCAGCTTCAGATCTATTTGGTCCATGGCATCATCCTTCTGGCCAAGGTATTGAGGCAAGGTCAGATTCCTCTGGTCATGCAAGGCAACCAAGGCCTTCTTCACACGTGCTGCCAAAAGTTTCGTATTTTTGGCAAAATCAAAGATGTCAAAGGCAAGGCCACTGAGTTTGACAACCCACTCTGGGTTCACTGGTGACTGCCAGGTGACATTGATCACACCCTGGGGTGGGCAAATTAGACGCCACAAATCATCGCATTTGTGATGCTTCATGAAAGCATCCAGGGTGTTGCAAATATCATTCACTGAAATTGATGGATCAGCTATATTTCTTCTCCTTTCCTTGGCTGCCTCAGCCTCTTGCTCGTGGACCAATTTCTTCCTCATCTCCAGCGCAGCTGCAAGAGTAGCCATGCGCCAAACTACACAGAAACTTAAACTGGTCAACTATATACAAGCTACAGGATCCCAAATGACTGCAATGAACAGAGTCTCAAGTAACAGAGTCTCAAAAGCTACAGGCTCCCAAATGACTGCAATGAAC